AATCAGGACATATTTGTGTGTTTCCTAGACTATAACAAAGCATTTGATACAGTAAAACATAGGCCACTGATGCAAATACTGGAAAATAAAAATATTGATACAAGGGACATGCGTGTGATAAGGAATCTATACTACAAACAAGAAGCTACAGTACGAATTAACAGCTCGATATCAGATAGAATACAGATCAAAAGAGGTGTTCGGCAGGGCTGTGTGTTGTCTCCAACCTTGTTCAATGTCGGAAGAAGTTATTAAAAAAGCTCTTATGAACGAAAAAGCCGGAGTAAAGATCAACGGTCACCCCATTTGCAATATCCGATATGCTGATGATACCGCGCTCATAGCAGAAAATATTGACGACCTACAGAGATTACTAAACAAAGTGGTAGAAGCAAGTGAAGAATTTGGTCTGTCACTGAATACAAAGAAGACCAAATTCATGATAATTACAAAGAAAGGTATCAATAATATCAACTTACATGTAGGACAGAATCTCATTGAACGAGTACAAAATTACAATTACCTCGGAACAAATATTAACGAGTCAAACGAATACACCAGAGAAATAAGAATAAGAATAGAGAAAGCCCACAGTGCCTTTAACAATATGAAACAAATGTGTAGCCGAAACCTAAGAATAAAGCTGAAAATACGAATGCTTAAATGTTATGTTTTCTCGGTCCTGTTATATAGGGTGGAGGCGTGGACACTAAATAAGCAATGTATGGGTAAGCTGGAGGCACTTGAGATGTGGGCGTACCGAAGAATGTTAAAAATCTCCTGGAAGGATAAGATAACTAACCAAGTTGTATTAGACAGAATGAACAAACAAAAGGAGGTCGTATTGAATGTTAAAATGAGGAAACTACAATACCTGGGACATATTACACGTGGGAATAAATATCAACTGTTACAACTAATTATGCAAAGAAAGATAGAAGGTAGGCGCAGCATAGGTAGGAGAAGAATGTCATGGTTGAGAAACCTCAGGGAGTGGTTTGCTTGCACTTCCATACAATTGTTCCGAGCGGCAGCCTCCAGGGTCAAAATTGCCATGATGATAGCCAACCTTCGTAGCGGAGATGGCACGTGAAGAAGAAGAGAAGATTTCCGTCCACACCCCCTTGTTTTAATATTTTTAGGACATCATACTTCCACACAGTATCGTAGGCTTTGAATATATCAAAGAAGACAGCCAGTACTTGACAATTACTTGCAAATGCCTCGTGTATGACCGATTCTAATTTAATCAAGTTGTCCGTTGTACATCTGTTTTTCCTAAATCCGCTTTATTGTTTGCATATTTAATTATTGGATTCCAGGAAGTATTACAGACGTTTGTTAAGTATTTTTTCTATTAGTTTGCACAAGGTGTGTTACATATTTGGTAAGATTATAAAAACTAAAGATGTAATAAAACACGAATTTTATTGAAAAATGTCTAATTATAATTAAATAATATAATACATATTTAAATACAAACTGCGTAATTAGATTCATTTTATTTAAGTTTTTTATTATGTTCTGTTACTTTAAAACCAATGAATTTCATTTCCTAAAAATCTGAACCTTTTGCGAATGCATATTTTTGTAATTTCTACTTTCTCGAGGTTCGTGGTTGTGTTCACCGCTTACATGTACTGTTAATCCGCTAGTAATTAACTTTGATTTACATCGGCTTTCTTTGGGAACATTAAAATATTTTGAACACATCCATATAGTTTTGTTAAATTCTTTTCTTAATACGATATAGTCGTGATGGTCCAGAATTATTTTAGGATTTTTTGTAGCCATATTGAAATGTATGACATCTAAAAGAATATAATGCGTATTAGAAAACGACGTAAATTAAGAGTAAAGAAAGAAAACGATTTTATGATTTTAATAACATTTTATTTGTTTTTGTGGCATTTTAAATTAATTATCATTTAAATGGGAATAAGCCACAATTAAAGGTTATTAAAAATTAAATCACTAATGTTTGTATTTTGACAACGATTTCCGAAGTGGAAATGGAAACGTCAATAAACGTACTTTTACCTTTAATTGTGGTTTATTTCCATTTAAACAATAATTTATTTTATTTGTCTTTGACACTTCCTCTATCAAACTAACCTAAAATCAATATTTAAAATAAGAGAGACATGGAAACCATAGTAATAAGTTTTGACTGAAAGAAAAAAGAAAAACAATTTAATAAAATGTCAAATGTTAAGTAATTCTGCTAATTTTATATTACAGTTCTCACAAGGGTAAGCCTGTTGAAGATACAACTTCATATATTCAAAGTGAGGTTCCTACAAACTCTGCCGCTTCTCGCATTTCGACCGCCATCGTTTTCTGTACATCCATTCATCATCTTTGATGGCTCTATCTCTCATTATGTGCGGTACGTTTTCTTCCAGGCAACTGAAGGCCTTCCCCTTCTTCTTCTTCATTGTTGTGGTATGTAATTTAAAGCTTTCTTTGACCACCTATCTTCATTCATTCGCTTCACGTGACCATACTACACTAGTTATCTCGTTTCAATTCTGTCTACACTGGAATATACAATATTTGTCCTTCTTCTAATATCTTCATACCTAATATGATCTCTGTCTTTGAGACATTCATATTGGGGCCGCATTTTTCATATTGTTACTATTTTAGTTTTCTAAATATGTAATCCATGTCTTTCTCATCATTCGCTACGACTACCTGATCATCTGCAAAAAATTAAGTTGTTAGACATTTAGCACCGCCTATGTCTATTCTCATTCCGGATACTTGTTTCCTCCACTGCTCTAGCGATGATTGAATATTTATTTTAAATAAGGTCGGAGATAGACACTATCCTTGTTTAAGCCCCTTTGTTATTGGAAATTATTCATATATAAAGTTTCCTCCTTTAAAGACACTTCTTGCATTTTTGTATATATTTGCAATAGGATCCACATACTCTCTACTTAGACCTTCTTTAGTCAATGTTTGAAACAGTTTTTTAAAGGTACCGTGTTGTATGCCTTCTCTAAATCTAAATCTACAAACAATAGGTAGGTAGATAAATTCCTTGTCTTTCATTTTTTGATTACCTGCTGCAGAACGAATTTACCATCAGTGCACGATCCTCCTGCACGAAATGTTCTTCTATGTCTTTGTATTGTTATTCTATTCTTTTTTTTTATTTTTCGACTGTACAACCTCAGCACTGAGCTGATAACAGTTATTTCCCTATAATTAGAGCATTTGTGTTTATCCTCTTTCTTGATTATTGAGCTGATATATCCAACATTCCAATCATCAGGGATATTTTGTCCTTTTAAGCATTTGTTAAATAGCTTAACTAACATTTCATGTAATATTTTTGGTTCATACTTTACCAACTTAATTGGGATGTCTCCAGATCCTGCTGCTTTACCGTTTTTCGATCTTTTGAGGGCATTGCTTAAGTCTCCGGTTGATGTCTCAATTATTTGTGTATGTTCGGATTTTTTCCATTTCGATCTCTTGGAATTAACATCTATCCTCTGTCAGTAAGACCTCATTATGGTGTTTGCACTGTCTCAGATATATTAATTGTAAGTTAGATTTTTTGTTTCCTTCCCTTCGGAGAGACTTTATCACCTTCCACGCTTACCCAACTCTTTCTCCACCCATATACCTATCCACCTCTGCACATTTTCGATCCCACATCTCATTTTTACTTTTCACTACTTCTCTTTTTACATCTGGATTTAATTTTTAATATATCTTGTAATCTTCCTCCTTTCTCGTTGACATCCATTTCTGATAAGCAGTTTTCTTCTTGTTTACTAACGTTTGCATATTCTCCGACCACCGTTCTTGATTTTTTGTTTCATGTTTGTCTTTATACCCCAAAGCTTCACTTGCAGCCTCATAAATGCATTTTTTAGGAGAAATATTGAATGCAGTTTTATTTTCGTCAGAAGAGAATATATTGAGGAAACAAACTGTGGAAAAATTGTAAGTGGAATATATTACAACAAATAAGCGGATGTTTATTGTGGAATATATTACAACAAACATTGCATGGTCTTTAGAATCCTCATATTCCGAACCAATGCCTTGACCAGTGTCAAATATAAGTCCGAAGAATATCAAAAATCCCGTTAGCATGGAAAATCCAATTACTATTTCATGCAACAACAAAAATAAAATAGAAACACAAAAATACTCCCAAAAAAGCAGGCCTTCGAAATTTGTAAATCTAAGAATCCTTTCCATCCCCATAATAATTTAATTACAAAGGATACTTTGGCACCATCGATAAATCTGGATCCTTTTACTTCACCAAGAGTTAGATTAACCAATAACTCGAAAAGTCGACGCTTTTAGTAAGATTTAGGAAACCGGAGATCTTAAAAACCATTATACTTACTTTTCTACACGACCAACCTGCTTCAGTGTATTACAATAGATTTACCAACACAAGCGTTAAATTCTTATTGGCTTCCGAAGGACTTCCCACTAAGATTGAAGATCTACGAAAAATCATTTTACAATTTAACGATGGCAATGAAATTGGTCCAACTGAGGTGGAAGCTGATCTTTATGCTATTGGGTCCTTTTTCAGCTCTTTTCAGTTCTTTTTTTTTAGCTCCTCTTTCAAAACCCAATGTTTGGATATGATTTTTTCCGCTCAGAATTTTCGTAAATTCCAAAATTTGTGCTTGCCTTCTGGATGATACTTTTTCTCTGTGAACGTGGACTATAATTTCAATGATTTATAGATAGGCTTGTCTACATTTTCAATAAGGCACTTCCATTAATTACAATTAAGCTTTGTATATAAAATTCTACAATTTTCAGTGACATGTAATGAAATTTTTGCAAGGTATCTAATCAACTCTGTATATTTATATAAAATACATCTAAATATACAAATCATTTTTATTTTGTAATGTAACTAGACACAATTAGAGTAAACACAATTTACCACCTATAAATACAATATTGAAAAAGAAACAATTCAAGAATCCCAATAATCCACATAAAGAGTATCAACACTTTTTCCTCACGATGGTTACGTTTTGGGGTATCATATTCTTTTGATCTGTTCTTGGTTTTATCGGATGATTATGTTCACCAATAACTTGTACTGTTCGTTTAGCAGTAATTAATTTTACTTTACACCTTTCTGTCATAGAATAGTAGTACCTACAACATCTCCAAGTTGTCTTTTCCACTCTCTTCTCAGCTAATATAAAATCTTGATCATCGACTATTATTTTTGGATTTTTAGAACCCATTTGAAAATATATAGTGTCTACAAGAGAAAAAACGTATTATTTGCATAGGGCTACTAAGACAATGGAATAAAATACACTACTGACATCTATAAAAGCAACATTAAATAGAAATATAACCATGCCTCTAAAAAACGAATATAAAGTACATTTCAACAAATTTGCACCGTTTTGGATTATCCAATAGTCCACTCTACTGTACAACATAAGTACGAATGTAAATTGCTGTAGTACTTATTGTTTTATAATATTTGTTTACAGTATTATGAGGGCTGTCTTGTTACATTTGCATATTAAAGACAAAAATATATATTTTGATCAAATAAAAAGGCAGATATCGAGCACAGTTTATTAATTAAATCTTGCCCACACACTTTGGCTGCCTCAAGCATCTTCAGGGACATCTGAAATAAGCCAAGAAACGTTTTTTTAAATGAAGAAAATCAATTAACTTCGATAAAAAACTCGCAAGTTAGAGATTGATAAAAGTTTTTATGTGATACAACGTTTTAGATTTACTTCGTCAATTTTGGCCTATCTACCAATTTGTGAAGAATGTCATAAATATAAAATTGTACATTACACTACACTACTCAAGGACAAACAGTTTAAAAATTTTAAAAAAGGAGAATAGGATTGGCATCAGGAGGGAGAATGGCTCCTGGTCTTAACGGAAATGTTAAGGTGACATGTGACATATGACAGCTTTGATGGGTAGTCACAATCATGGTGATGTGATCTGCACATTTGACAATTATATGAAACTAAGCAGTGACCAAAGGTCCAACTGAGACTACTATAGGAAATCAACTGATGAAATATATGAAATTATTTAGAATATTTTAAATAGATTGCATAATCCAGATCTTACACTTAAACCTGTATATAATAATTAGGGTGTTAGTTTGAGGGCAACTGAAGTGGACGTAAAGAATGAATGCAAGAAATAGACTAAGCAATCTATTAGACAATGGGTGCTTGACTACAATAAAAAGGTCTATCAATACTGTAGAAAAGAATCAATCTAACTATGAAATTAAAATACTAAATAAAAATTAAAATTGAAAGCAGAGTGTCAAATGGGGTATAATCCACAGTCAATTAGAGAACCATAAAATTAAAATGTCAAAGTATTACTCAAGACCAACTGACCAGCAGTGGGAGATGTTGAAATATCGAATGGTCCTAAAGTTTTGGGAAAAATTTCACCTGGTCTGATTGAGAAACAAAATGCATTTAACAAAGAAGGCCATGTAATTGAAATGTCATCAGTTATTGACATTTAATAAACAAAGCATAATATTTTGGTTTGTGCTCTGCGAAATATCTTATAAAATTGATATTCGTCGAGGTGTTTATAATATGGTCAGATCAAAACATAAGCAAATCGACAATTTATCGCACAATCAGAGAATGTGAAGAAGGGATACCATGTGTTAACTTGTGTAAAAGTGGCCGACCGCGGATTTTGAACCATATAAGAGAGGCAAGACTGATTAAAGCAGCTAAGAACCAAATTGGGATCCCACAGCAAAAACTGGCCAGAAGATTTCATGTTGGAAAGACTACAGTATACAGGACCCTATCGAGCAACAATATTATCTACCGGAAAAAAAGGAAAGCTCCAAAATACACAGAGGATCAATTAGAGAGAATTCCAAAATTTTGCCGCGCGTTAAGGCGAGTGCATTTCGTCAACAAGTTGATCGTGATGGACGATAAAAATATTTTGTTCTTAGCTGCTTCAATCAGTCTTGACTCTCTTATATAGTTCAAAATCCGCGGTTCAAAATTGTCAGGTTCTGGTTCCAGTGTAGAAGAGATGTTAGGATGGAGGATATTAAAAACATCCAAACTTGTAAAGCATCATCTTGGGTTCCCTGTATGAGAGCTATACAATCATCAACATATCTTGGCAAAAAAAGTATTTTGCTGTTGTTGTTAACAAATTTCTGTTCTAAGCTGCCTAAGAAAATATCAGCTAGAAAAGGTGATAATGGCGATCCCATTGCTAAACCTGTTGGTTTTTTATATATTTTTTTATTCAATACACTTTTGCATGCGTCCAAATCAATTTGTAAAACATTTATTCCAGTCTTCAGTTAACAACTAAAAAAATCGCTGTTTCAAAGGCATCGATGGCTTCTTTTAAAGCTCCAAAAACTATATTATCTTTTGGGCAGTGTGAGCACTTGTATTGTCCTGATGTAGGATTATTCGCCATTGTCTGTTGCTTTGTCGTAGTTTCGCAATAGCTTCCGGTAAACAAATAGTTATGTATCAATCAGAAGTAACTGTCCTTCGATTTTCTAAAGCATTTGTTGTTACAACACAATCCAACAAACTACAAGATTTTGACACAAAAGTTGAGACCATTTTCTTTGACACACTTCATGAACGGATTGAATTGTTGGTTTTTTCTCATCATGAAACACTCAAACAGCGGATTGGCGTTTATTTGCCGGTTCGTTAAAAAGGGAATCCAAGATTTATCGCCACTAACAATACTATAAACGTTTTTTCAGCTTTCTTTGTTAAACCGTTCCAATGGTTTTCAACACCAATTGACGCGAACCGCTTTTTGCTCTTCTGTGATCAAATGAGGGACCAACGGGAAATCGACTTCGTAACACTCAGTTCTTCATGTAGGATCTTTTGGATCGAGGTCTTTGAAATACCCAATGAAGCCTCTATCTCCCGGTATGTTACACGGCGGTTATTCTTCTCTCTCTTAAACTTTTCAGTTTGTCCCTAATTTCAAACCAAGTTTATATCTTATTCAATTACAAATATAATGTCTTCCCTTTTGCACAAAAAAAATAGGTAACTTAATAGCAGAGTATTAATTAAACACATTATACACAGGGAAGCTCGGTAAAAAATTAAAATATAAAAATGGGCTCGTGAAGGGTAAAGTGGGAAGGGAAAAAAGTCAAGAAAAAAACGGGAAGCATTACGCTTTTTTAAAGTCGATACGTTTTCTTGAATAATCTTCAAATAGTCGTAAACAAGGATTTCCCCTCGTCAGAAATTTACACATCTAATAAAGAGTAAGTTCGGATTTGTGATTTTGTCATCATAATTGTGTGCTATGAAAATATTAACCAATATTAATGAAATACCAGGGGCCCGTTTCACAAAACTACACGTTTGTCAGTTATAATGAAATTCTTACAAGTTTGGCAAAATATCTCGTTATTAGTGTTTCACGAATGTACAAGTATTCACTTGTAACCACTAGTGAATTTTACAAGTAAATTACTTGTAAGCTATTTACAAGTAAATTACTTGTAAGCTACCAACAATTTACTTGTTTAACACAAGAATAATTTATAAGTTTGTAGTTGACAGTTGTAGTGAACTAAACATTTTCTATACCTAACTTTGAAGGTAGATACAATAAGCGTCTATATTCTTTGGTAGGTAGTTGGTTTGAGGAGTGTAATAAGTGTAGGAAAAATGTTGTCTAGTAGCAGCTCTTCGTCTTCTTCTTCTTCTTCAAGTTCCACTCCTATCGGAGATTGGAAATCATTCTGGCAATTATAATTTTATTGGTTACTCGCCTGAATAGTTCAATTGAACTGCATCCAAACCACTCACGGAGATTGCGTAGCCACGAGATTTTACGTCTTCCTACGCTTCTTCTACCTTTGATTTTACCCTGCATTATATTCCTTAGTAGTTCGTACTTTTCACCTCTCATGATGTGCCCCAAGTATTCCAATTTCCTGATCTTTATGAAATTTAAAACTTCGCATTGTTTTCCTAGTTGTTCGAGAACTTGTTCGTTTGTTTTGCGATCCATCCATGATATTTTCAAAATGCGTCGGTAACACCACATTTCGAATGCTTCTAGGTTTTTAATGTTGGATTTTTTAAGTGTCCAAGCTTCAACTCCATACAAAAGGGTAGAAAAAATATAACATCGAAGCATTCTTATCCGGAGCGATATATTGATATCGCGATTACAAAAAAGTTTTCTCATTCTATTAAAAGTTGACCGCGCAATTTCAATGCGGCATCTTATTTCTTTTGTCTGATCAGTATCTTCTGTGATCCATGCTCCAAGGTATTTGTACGAAGATATTTGTTCAATTTCTGTATTGTCTAGTACTAGCTTAACTTTGATGTTTTGTGCTTTTGTAAATACCATGAACTTTGTTTTCTTCAAATTGATTTTTAGTCCATAATCGTTGCAATATATATTTAGTTGTTCAGCAAGGTGTTGCAGTTCTTCTAGTGTTCCTGCCAAAAGGACGGTGTCGTCAGCATATCTTATGTTATTAAGTGGCTCACCGTTTATTATAAGGCCCTCACTGATCTCGGCAAGCGCTAATTCTGAGATGGCTTCACTGTATAAATTGAATAACAAGGGTGATAAAATACACCCTTGGCGGACCCCACGGCGAATCTGGATATCCTTGGTCAGTTCGTTTTCAACTTTCACTTTTGCTGTTTAATTCCAATAGAGGTTACAGATGATTCTAATGTCTCTACTGTCTATGTTTTTATTTAATAAAATTTCTTTAAGTCGATTATGTTGCACTCTGTCAAATGCCTTCTCAAAATCAATGAAACAGGCATATACTTTCTGATTAATATCTAAGCATCTCTGCGAAAGAACACTTATTGCAAACAGTGCATCTCGTGTTCCCAGTACTTTCCTAAATCCCATTTGTGTATTACTTATGCCTTCATCTAATTTCTTATGTATTCTATTGTGAATTACTTTTAAAAACAATTTCAAGACATGACTCATTAAGGCTATGGTGCGATGTTCATTGCACTCCTTTGCATTGGCTTTTTTGGGAAGCAGTATGAATGTTGATTGGAGCCATTCTTTAGGTATTATACCTGTTCTATATATGGTATTGAATAGATCCAAAAGAAGATCAATAGATTCAGTATTCACAATTTTAAGTAATTCGATAGGAACTTCATCAGGCCCGGGAGATTTACCATCTTTAGCTTGTTTCATTGCATATTCAATTTCTTCTCGTTCT